AAAAACCGGACAGACGAGCATGCACACACACACAAACATACATACATACACACACACACATACACATAAATAGGGTCGTCCCAGTATGCGCTTTTGCAGTTTGCATACAGGCAAAAACGCATAAAAATCCGCTAGCTTTTACGAGGCAGTCTGTTATTCTAGCGTGAGAACAGTAAATGCAAATTGTGAAAGTACTTCTGGAAGTGCCTCACCCAATTCTAATATCTCTAAGACCAAACTGCAATCCTTGATGGGGCTCATTTTAACAGGAAAGTGTTAGAAAATAGCCTCTAATAAACCGCATTTTGTTAAGACACTGTTCGCAAGTTTTTTTTTCAGATGTTAAAGACTTTAATGTGCCAGAGACATATCTGAAGTACGCGAAATATCGTACGGAAAAGCTCTGGTCTGATACTAAGAGAATTTATGCGAACGGATTCATTCGGAAATGGTCGCTGTGGTGGGCGATGACAACTTGCATGTCTTTGCAGGTTAGCCTGAATTTTCCGATGAGGGATGATTTGTTGAAGAACTGCTTTTGTATTTTCCCGGAAGGCTTTGTGTAGTCTATCCCTTCTGCCTTTTTTGAAGAAACATTCGAAAGCGTTGAATCACGCTTTTTGCCTTTTTTGTTTATCCTCTTCAAAAGCATGTCATTTGAGGAACAGAAATGAGAGCATTTCTCCGCGAAAGACGAGCTTTTCCTCAGTCTTCGTAGTCGCACATCCACTTTTCCATTCCTTCGTTCTGTTTTCCACATCCATCTTTCTTTTTCCTTAAATATAAGTAACCAAATACGTACAACAAAAAGATGGTAGACACTAACTGGAGATAAACCATATTTAATATGCACATCAACGGGAGGTGGCTAGTTAGAAGTGTATGTATCTGTTCGGATTTTTGTCACCTATCTTCAAATTACAAGGATATTCTATGTTTATGTGCGACCCGAGGGTTTCAAAATCAGTTTTAAAGCAAGCTTAATTTTCACACGTACACGAGTGGAAGTTTAGCTTGGGACACCATTGACATCCAATTAACTCGATAACCAGAGCGAGTAGGAATTAGTTTTTTATGCGTTTGAGATTGCTGTCCATGTGCAGGCCAGCAAGGTTAGAATATGCTGCTGCTAATGCAAGCCCTCATGTGCAGGCGCATCAATTGTTCAAATTGCCACACTGCAGCAGATGAAATCCAACTGCTAGACAGAATTATGCAAAAAAAGCAAGACTGCACCAACAGCTCTGGTGTGAGCTGCGATTAATCAACACTTCCAATAAATCTTTTAGTTAAAATGCGAAACGGTATTGCATAGTAACTTTAAAGGTGAATATTAAAAGTGCGCTTTCCTTTCTTAGTAT